GGAGCCCCCTAGCGGCATCGCTCTGCGCTCCGCCGCCCCAGCCCGCGGCCTGGCCGGACCTGGCCAGACGGATATGCTCGCGTAGTAACGCAGGTGCGCGGGGGCAGCCGATGCACCCTGCCCGGGCACAGCCAAGCGGGTACGGGGCCGCGTCCTCCTCTTCTCCACAATCATATCTGTCAAAGGACCTTTTTTTTTTGGTGGCCTAAGCTGCCTCCAAGCGGGTCACTGCTGACATGGCCAGGGCGTTTCAGTGCCAGCAGTGCTAGGTGGTGCAGAGCAGGGTGAGAGCAGTTGGGCTTGTTCTGTGGCTCAGGGCCCTGAGCGCTGGACTAGTACAGGACCTGGAAAGCTGCAAGTTGAAGGCTGCAGCAGTGGTCACCAACCAGTGGATCTCAATCCACCAGTAGATCTCAGAGCCACATGGGCAACCAGTGCCTCCTGAGTTACGGGGGGGCACTTGCCCCCACAGCGGCCAGTCAGCAACGGGGGGAGGCCCGCAGCTGATCACAGGGAAGGGGACAGCTGATCACACCAACCTGGAAGTGCCAGTGGGCATGCTTCTCCTGGTGCCCCCACTACCCAGCCAGTGCTGTCAGGGAGGGCATCAGCGCTCTTGCCTGCCCCTCCCCCCGGGAATGCTGGCTGTCAGGGGGTGCACCAGTGCTCTCGGGGTGTACATGCACCCCTGTGCACCCCCTACGTGTTGCCACTGCTCTTGCAGTAGATCTCAGAGCCTCTTGGAGTCAATCAGAGGCTGGGGTGGGGCACAGAGTGCCCACATGCATGCATGCGCACGCTCCAGCCCAGCAGGTCAGTCCATGGGGGAGGGGAGGGGAGGGATGGGGCAGGGGCTAGATCGAGGCCCCCATAGTGAGGGACAGTGTTGCAGAGGCAGGAGCAGGGATACATTGAGTGGGGCCCTGGCTGGGTGTGACTTACCTGCTGGGGAGGTACGCCTCAAAATAATTTTTTCTTCCTCTGCTTCAATCTGTCGCCATCCCTTCCTGCCCCACAGACTTACCTGCTGGGCAGGGGTGGCGGGTGGTAGCAGCACACAGTAGATCTTGGGTTGCTTTTAAATGTCAAAGATGATCTCCTACTTAAAAAGGTTGGAGACCACTGCTCTACAGGTAGGTAAACAAGCCCTTATGGACCCAAGTTTTTCCCAGGGGAGAGCAATAAAGATGGTAAGAGGACTGCAGAACATGATTTTGGAGGAGAGGCTGAAGGAACTGGGATTATTTAGTTTGGAGGAGAGAAGACGAGAGGGGATTTAATATCAGCTTTCAACTACCTGAAGGGTGGCTCCAAAGAGGATGGAGCTAGACTGTTCTCAGTGGTGGCAGATGACAACAAGGAGGAATGGTCTCAAGTTGCAGCAAGGGAAGTTGAGGTTAGAAATGATGAAAAAGTTTCTCACCATGAGACCAGTAAACCACTGGAACGAGTTGTGAAATCTCCATCCTTGCAAGTTTTTGAAATAGACAGTCTTGGCTGGGATGATGTAGTAGTGGATGGTCCTGCTTTGAGCAGGGGTTGGACTAGTTCAGAGGTTCCCAACCCCCAGGTCGCAGCCCAGTACCGGGCCGTGAAGGGTTGGCTGCCAGACTGGAAGTGACTGGCATACTGCGGACCGGTAGCCAACCCTTTTTTATACTCGGTATGTAAAAGGGTAGGCTTTTATACTGAGTGTAAAAAAGGGTTGGCTGCCAGTCCACAGTTTGCCAGTCTGCAGTTTGTCGGTCCACAGTCACTTCTGGTCCGTGGTTTGCCGGTCCGCTATCAAAAATGTTGGGAACCCCTGAACAAGTTGACCTTCTGAGGTCCCTTCCAACACTAGTTTTCTATGATTTTATGACAGAGAGTGGGTGCTGTCTAAAACCAAGTGTTTTGCCCATTAGCGGAGGAGGTGTTCTGCTGCTGCAGTGCTGATATGTGTTACTCAGGAACAGCGTGTTTCTTGCACAACCCTCTGCAATAAAGCTGATTTGTTTTCCCAGGACTCTGTAAACTCCAGGAGCCACAATCCTGGACCAGAACCCCCAGCGCTACATGCTGCCCAACAGACCTGGACACAGGCATGGGCAATCCGGATGGCTGCCCATGGCCCAGACAGAAAGGGGGTCCCAAAAATGAAAAAGAAATTACCATTGCAAAACGAGTTTTAATATTGTGTATATCCAGGACTGGCAATGTTATCAATTGAGAACAAACTCTTTAAAGACATGGGTACCACAGATGTGATAAAGACTTTTGCAACAAAAAAATCATTATCTCTGGTGAAGGGGGGGCCTGATACTAAAAGTTTGCCCAGGGCCACCAGGAGTCTAGGTATGGCACTGCTGCCAAAACACAGACCAAAAGGCAGTCTCTGCCCCAAAGTACTCACACTCTCCATAAAAATTAGAGACACTTGAATGCAGACAAAAGAAAGGACACAGGAAGGCAGTCTGGGTAAGGGAAACAAACCAGGGCCCTAGAGCTGACTCACCAATGTCACTAGAGGTTCCCTATTGGATTATCCATAATCTGACCTTCACGTTAGGGATTGCTACCTCAACCCCAGGTTCCCAGAGTAGTCTGACCAGAATCTGTACCTGGGAGCTCCTGACTGTTTTCAGAAAGCACTGGAGATATAGGGCTGCAGCTTGTGATTAACTGCAGAGTTGTCTCTCAGCCTGGGCTATAGCTTGTAGGCTGGCTGTGAAGGATTGTAAGAAGGGGCTCTGCTACTTTGTTCTCCTTCCATCTCTTGTTTCCCCAGGGTGCAATCTACCCTTATCCTCTTCCCCCAGAAACATCTTTGCAGCAGGTGAGTTGGGGTCCCTCTGGCTGAGTGCATCTACCCTTGTGTAGAACTGCAGAGGGGCAGTTCCTTCTATGCAAAAGCAGGTCTGGCCTGTCCTCTTGAATCAGCTTGCTGGTGTTTTAGGAGCATGCCCTGCAGTGGTCCAGGTGGTCAGATGCTGGGAGGTGACAAGGAGCATGGAGGTAGGGGAGACAATGGAAGATGTAACAGCAATCAGCAACAGGAACCAAATGTGTTTGGCTGGAAAGATCTGTGCCTTAGGCAAGGGTGGATTAATGAACAGGCCCTCACTGCTGTGACATCATCAGATTTTTTTCTCCATCTTTAAAACTTGGAGGAACCCAGTCATTTGAATAATAATAAATGCATCATGGTCTTATATGTGTGCCTTTTTCATATTTGGCTGCATTGTTAATAATGGCAACTTTCTAACATGGTTAGTGGTACATAAGAGCGCAAGACAACCATCTTTGGGCTGTGGGCCCCAAGAATCCTTTATCCACCCCTAGCCTCTGTGCACTGGCGACACGTAGGGGGCGCACATGCACCCCCTGAGCGTGACGGTGTACCCCCTGTAAAAAGGCGCCGTTGACAGTGTTGGTGATGCCTGCAGGTAGTTGCCACTTGCCACACATCCCCTCGCCGCCGACACTGCCAGCAGCATCTATGGGCAGTCCGCTATAGCCACTGGCCACCACCAATGCTGCCGGTGGCGTCTGCAGGTAGTCGCCAATCACTGGTCAGCACTTGCTACCCCCACCCGCCTTCGACAGCACCGCGGCCACCTGCGGGAGCTCCCTGCTTACCGCTGCCATGCTCCCACCACCAGCAGCGCCGCCGCCACCTGCGGGAACTCACTGTGCCCCCCCAGCCTCTGGGGCCACGTTCATGCCTCGGTGCAGGCACCCACTGCTGGCAGCCACTGATGGCAGCTATGCCCCATTTCCAGGATTCCTCTATCAGGAAAAGGTAGCTCTCCAGCTATAGGTCATGTACCACTAGGACTGGTTCCAAAGGGAGGGCAGCTCTTTTTCTCCCCCAAGGTCTCTTTGACATGCTCAGGAATGAGATTGAGGTGGACCTCCTCCAAAATGATTGTGGAGGAACTTCAGTTGTGGAGTTCCGATGAAAAAGCAAGAGGGGCACCAAGACTGTAGTGGATTGTGTGAAGCAGCAGTTCCCCTCCCCCATTTCCTTTCCTCCTGCCCAACAGCCCCCTCCTCCCAACAGTGCCTGAGCTCCTGCTGCTCTGCGCATAGTCACATGTTGCTGCTGCCAGCCCAGGTGGCCTGTTTAAAATTTACCCTCTGCGGTGTGCTGAGGAAGGTGCTGGGTTGCACTCAGTCTGCCTGCTGTAGGTGTTAGGGTGAGTACCGATGTCTCCCCAGATGGGGCGGGGGGGGGTGGGGTGCCCATGTGTCCTTGGGTTGCATGCTGGCTAACAGTGCGTGTCTTTGTGCACTGTTTGGCAGCAGCTCCCTGCATGTTCTGGGAGCTACCCATTGTTTGCCTTGTCCAGCAATGTGTTGGGGTCTCCCAGGAGTGTCTTTCTGAGGAATGTGGTTGTTTGCAGGGACTGATAATGCCACCAGACCCCATGCAAGCTGCCTGACCTGCAGGGAGCTGCTCTCTGAATTGCCTGGTCACTAATGGATTTCAAACGGTGTCCCGCAGAACCCTAGAGGTCTGTGATAGGTCATTAGGGGGTCCATAAAGAGATCAGAGATAATGGTAGAGTGGGCCGGGAGGCAGTGTACCACCATTGCCAAGCTGGGTTGCCTGGCTCCTGTCAGTTTTCAGAATTAAGGGCAGAGGTTCTGTGGCAGAAGTAATAGAAATGGGTTTCATGACTTTAGAAAGTTTGAAAGCCACTGGCCTAGTGGAAGCACACCACTATTCTCCTGTGTGGGAGAGGCTGAGGTGAAATAGGACACATCTCCAGAGACTTCCAAATCCTGCCCCATTCCTAGAATGGGGCACCTATGCACCTAGTGGGGAAAAACATCAATCCCTAGACCAGGAGTCAGCAACATTTTTCAGCAAAATGCCAAAAACACTTGCAACTTCGACTTATAAAATGTTGGCATGCAAGGGGTGCTGCAAGGGGCCCAATCTTTGTTGTGGCAGTGCAGCCCCAGCCCCTTCCCCACCATCTGCCCAGAGGCGTGCTGCCAGCAATGAGCCAGACCGGGGCTCCATGAACCCCAGTGCAGCCACTTGCAGCCAAGCAGCTGCCTGCCGCAGTTAGCTCAGCCTCTGAGCAGGCCCCTGCCATGCACCATAGAGCCCAGGCTGCTCAAAGCAGGCAGCAAGGAGGCTACAAGCAGCTGCACTGGGGGCCATGGAGCCCTGGCCCAGCTTGTTGCCAGTGGCAAGTACGTATATGCCTTGAGGCAGACGGTGGGGAAGGGGCTGGGGTGCACTGCCACAAGGATCGGGCCTCTTGCAGCTTCCCCACCATCCACCCCAAGGCACACATGCCAAGCAACATGCCTTCACATGCCATGCTCTGGCACAAGTGTCAGGAGTTGCCTACCCCTACCCTAGACCCTTGTCACATAAGTCAGAGGTGGCTGCCAATTATACTTTAGTCTCCCAGTAGGTAAAACAGAACCCAGCCGGGGGCAGGGCGGGGAGCGGGATGGAGCCGCAAGCGGCTTGTCCAGGCAGAGTGGGAGGTGGCTCCCACTGCTGCACAGACCCCAGGTGTGCCCTCAGATCTGCACGCGGGGCGAGGGTGGGCTACCACTGCAGGCTGGTGCCAGGGGCAGTGCCAGACTTTTCCCAGTAGGGGGGCTGGGCCGAGGCTACACTCGGGGCAGGTGGTGGTGGTGCTGGGAGGGGAGTTACGGTGAATTTTGGGGTGGCTGCAGCTTCTCTCAGCACCGCCACTGCCCGCCCAGAGGGCAGACCAGCCCAGCCCCCACTGGGAAGAACTCAGTGCCACCCCAGCCCACAGTGGCCGCCCACCCTTGTCGTGAGCGCAGATCCAGGGGCACCAGCCCCCCCATGCCTTCCTGGGGGGCACGCAGCGGCAAAAGCCACCCTCACCCCCAAACAAGCTGCTCATGGCTCCATCCCATGCTCCGCCCCAGCTGTGCAGCACCTGTCTCTGCCCTAGCCCCACTCCCTCACTCACCGCAGGGGCCTCAATCTGTTTCCCCCTCGTGCCTCTTCCCTCCCCCCTTGCCCCTTCCCCCACCACAGACTGACCAGCCCACGCTGCTCTCCAAGCCACCCGGCTGCATATCAGGAATTGTATTGGTATCGGTCAATATGGCTCATTAAAAATCAGCTCTTGGTATCAGCCCAAAAAATCTCTTATCAGTGCACCCCTAGTTTCCACCTTGGATTTGTAATTTGCATTACCATATCCACATTTCCATTTTATTCCCTACCATTATTCTCATTAATACCATCATCTTTACTGGAGACAGAGGCGAAGTGGCTATTCAGTACTTGGGCAGTATTCAGTACCTAGATTATCCTCAATCTCCATCCCATTTTCAATGGACATAGAGGTTCCAATTCTTCCCTCCTGGTTCTCTTTTTGTTTATATCAGGGATTTTCAACCAGGGGTATGCTTACCCCTGGGGGTACTTTGAAAGGCCCCAGGAGGTATGCGGCAGCAGTGCGGAGAAGCCGGTGGCACTTCTGGTTTTGCCAGTAGCACTTCTGGATTCGCTGCTGCATCCTCCTCATCCCTGCTTGTCAACTGGCCTCTGGGGGACCAGCCACCAGAGACTCCCCACCCCTTGCTCCTTGATTGGCTGCCGGGGGACTCCCCACTCGTCGGCACCCAGACCAAAAAAGGTTGAAAGCCCCTGGTTTATATGACTGAAAACATGTTTGCTGTCCATTTTGATTCTCTTTATAGGGTCCAACTCTTCACTTAATGGCCTCTGACTTTAGTGGTCAATGCTTTTCTCTATTCCTTGTAGATTCTCTGCTATTGTATTTAAAGTACTTGTTCATCTAAGGAGATCTGTAGCCCTTCCCCACATTTTTTTCATCTTGCCTGATGCAAGCTCCTCATAGTAGTGAGCTGTGTACTTTTGACGTAAAATAATTCCACACTTCTTTAACATTTAAATCCTTGAGGTCTTGAATCCAGTTTGACCTCCAAAACTAATTTATTTCATGTTTCAAGTTTTAATTTTTTAAAGTTCAAAAACCTAACTGTAGACCTGCTCTTGCCTAGCCCTCAATTTCTGCTGAACTAAATCAGTTTATGACCACTTGATCCAATATTATTTTCAACAGCCAGCTCTCTCAGAAGATCTTGAACAGTTATTAAAATCAAGTCTAAAATAGCCTTACTTCTCACTGGCTCAGTGACCCGCAGATAGGGAAACCATGTGGCTACCACAACCAAGACTGTATGTACCATACTGTTATTGTTAGTATTTTTATCCACTGTATATCAGTTGAAGTCCCATAATCTCACAATTTCCTTTAGCATTAAACTTTCCCATTACTTTCTAGAGCTCCTTATCCATGTCCAAGTGAGAGCCTGAGAGGCTATAATAAATGGCCTGCACAATCCCTAGGGGACCCTTCTTATTATCCCATATTGGTGTGGTTTTCACTCAAATATCTTCTGTTTGTCTATGTCATCACATTTAAATTAATTTTAATCTACCCTTCACTGATATTCAGTGCTCCCCCTGCCCCTTTACATTTCTGTCTTTCCTAACCAGTTTATGCTCTTCAGTGCCTGTGTTCTGCTTGTTACTATCAGTCCATCATGTTTCTGTTATTTCTGCACTATCCAGTGCTATGTCCCACAAACAGAGTTCTCATTCCTCCATTTTCTTGCCCAGACTCCTTGCACTTCTGCACAAAGGTATTAATTGTTTCTATCTTGCTTTCCCTGAGTTCCCACTAGGTTTTGATGCAGTCACTTTGCCATGTGAAATACTTGCCTGGCTTCCATAGTCACTGATGTTATTGCTGGCCATTTCATTTCATTCACCAGTGCTCCCTTTTCCTTGACAACCTCTTCATTTACCTTACTTCCTTTCTGTTTTATGTTTATTCCCAGCATGGAAATTTGTTGTGTCTAATGGGAGAAATAGGATCAATCCCCAGACCTTGATCATGTAAGCCAGGGGTAGCTGTTGACTATCTGAAGAAGAGTATTTTGTGCTCACATGCTTATCT